CATTTGTCTAGGCAGAAAGAGGAGGCAAAATCACAGTTCGGTTTAGGTAGGAGGAAGAAGGCGGGGGGGGGCGGGGGGATGTAGATGGATGGCAAGAAGCGGCTCCAGTGTTTGCTCTGTGTTCTTAAGGAGGCTGGCGTTGTGCTAAGAGCAGCAATGTCTGTACTGAAAAAGTGGGCGTGACAAAACTGGAGTAAGTCTCCAGGACTCCAAGAAACCTGACTCCATAAAAGTCTGTCCTTAAGCTTCCTTTAGTCCTGGAAAACTATGAATGTGAGCAATTATCTGCAATGACTTATTGCCACTTCTCGAAAGAAAGAACTGATTCAGTCAGTTTTTTTATGGAAAGAGAGCCCAGCGTGCTGTGGGAAAAAATAAAAGACATTATGAAAACCCACGTGGGAAGAAATATTTCCACATTTCCAAGAAAAAAACCCAAGTGGCCTTCACAACAAGCTATAAAAGCCTTGGGCCACTTGGATGCTTAAGCATGACAGCTGGGCATATGCTTCCAGTGTCATGCCAGAGAGGACTCAGAAGAATTGCTCAGTCAAGAACAGAGGGAAAGAATTAGAAAAGGAAAATGAGAGACTTTTTCATAAGCTCAGAAAAGTCACAAGAAAATGTTCAGTTACATAACCACCAGGAGGCCCTACTGATCGGCTTCACCCTTACTAGGAATCATCCAATGGGCATAAATGTTCTTCTGTACAGGTGAACCGTATATACCATTCGGAGAGCAAGAAAATGCTTAGCTAATGGAAGGGTGTTCAAGAGAAATCAAAGAAGAGTTCTGATGGAAACAGAAGAGGTAAAAGAAAGGTGGAAAGACTACCCAAAACCCTTTCTAAATGGGATTACAGAATGTCATTCAGAAAGAAGATGTTCAGGGACTGACTGCACTAGGAAGGAAGATGTGATGGGTAGGAAACCAGCCATCCGACAGGGAAGCACCAAGTGCCCGAGGTACGTCCACTAAACTGTGTAAAGCTGCAGGTGAAAAAAAAACTAACGAAGAAGTGCTAACAATTCTGGGTCAACCAATATGGACCACAAGAGGCTGGTCTGTTCTGGACCAAATGAAGGATAATTATTCCCCTGATGGTCAACAATCAGAAGAAGAAGAAGAAGACGTTGTGTTGTTGTTGTTGTTGTTGTTGTTCAAGGAGCTAAAATAAATCTCAATATTCAGTCCAGGGACAGAACTCCTGACCTAGGAGTTTTAAAAACTGTCCTCAGTGTGGCTGTTAATCTTTTTAATTGTTATTATAACTAGTACACCAGGAAGGCAGAAAAGGAAGCCCTGGAATAATTCCTTTCTCCACTGTTCCACCTCCAATAGATCTCCCCAATACTCTGGGTGATAATTTCAAACTTTTCAGCCCAGATCACACCACAAAGAAGGCTGAATAAAACAAGTGGCATGCTGTTCCTGGAGGTATCTAGAAGGGGAATGCCAAGCATCTTCCCCACCAGTAGCCCTGTGGACAAGTGGCCGAGCTCCACATTCAAGCTCTGACATTAACATCTATCCCACGGCTCCTCCATCTAAGCATCTCAGGGTGAACTTCATGGAGAAACCACTCTGTGCTGAACAAGTTTCTCTCCATTACTGCTATCAGCCCAGGACTAGCATCTGAAAAATGCCCTCAACTTCAGGAAATCACTTACAATTTCAGAATCATCCTCATTGCCTCTATGTTTGGGGAAGAAATTGACCTATTGGACATTTGTTGTGAAAAATATTTGATAACATTTTCATCAGAAAACGTATCTGAGCAAAGCTTCAGGTACATAGGTGCCAGGCAAATCTTAACTGACAACAATAGGCTAATTCAGCCCAGAGGGTGGCTAGAGAGGGGTTGGACAAACAGGATTTAGACCAACATTGCAGTCACTAACTGAATCTTCCCAACTGCTTTTTCTTTTCTTCTCTTCTAAAATGGCTGAAGGCTATAAAGTGTACTTCTTAAGGATAGTTTAAAATTAGAGGGCAATATCCTATGAGGTTGCTGTTCCTCATATTCTTACATTGCATCTGCTGGGTTGCATCAATATTCAAGCAAATTCCCGTTTTCATCTTGAAGATTTGACTACATTCATTCTGGTATCACCTTAGGCAGTATTTCATCAAATCTGCAGAGCTTCTACTGCTAGTTTCTAAGGAGAAGACCTTCCCTCATATACTGCGGCTTTGAAGGACAGCAAATCAGAAAGTTAGAAGAGCCACTGCAAGGCCCCCCAGGTGTCCTTTCTAGCAAAGTGTCTCTTGCTGGAGCTGCTTAATTCCGTGCTGAAGACTTCAGCCAACTTCAGCCAACTCCGTGCTGAAGACTCAAGCAATTGAAATAGTAATGCTACAATTCACTGACAGGCAATCACCCATGAAGAACAACAGATCAACACTGATCAAGACTCAGAGGATCCTGCAGGGACTTTGTCTCCCTCAGAAAGAAATGACTTGCCCATAATGTTGTTTGATTTGTAGTGGCTGATTCTAAAAACAGAATGTCATCAAGTGCCACACGGTGGCTTGTCACCCAGTTCTTGATTTATGAACAGCGAATGGAGTGCAATGATGTTTTATGAGTATTTAAATAGCATCACTACAGAGAACAGGTGCTGTGTATTGGCATTTTTGTGAAAGGCCTTCACTTGAAACTTGCCCACAGATGCAAAGGAAGGACATGCTCACTGATGCACTCTGCGCACCAGGAATTTACTCACAGGATGTCTGTGGCACTGGAACACTTGTAATTTTCAGGACATCTGAGTGGGTAACCGGGAAGAGCATTTGATGGGGCATAGAATTTGATGGGGCACCCCTGTGGTCAGGTAAGACAGACCAGTGAGAGGGAAGACAGAGAGAGGTAAACAGAATTAATAAAATAAAAATCAAGTCAAGGCAGTTTTGCTGTCCTTCATCTAGGCAAAGATCATTTAATTCTCCAATACTTTTAATTTTTAAATGATTTAGGTCTACTGATACTACAATTACTTCAGTATCCATTGTCTTCAGCTTTTGTCTGTATTACTTCATTTAGTTGAATATGCTGATTTCCCTAAAAACTCTTGGAGAAGCAGAATAAACATCTGTAACATGAATTAATGACCATGTCTAGTTCCTTTAAGAGAACCAGTTTGGCATGGTGGTTAAGACACTGCGCTAGAAACTGGGAGACTCTTAGTTCTAGTCCTGCCTTAGGCACGAAGCCAGCTGGGAGACCTTGGGCCAGTCATTCTCTCTCAGCCCCAGGAAGGGGAAGGCAATGGCAAACCACTTCTGAAATCCTGCCAAGAAAGCTGCAGGGACTTGTCCAGCCCGTTGCCAGGAGTCAACACTGACTCAAAGGCAACCAAATAAATAAATAAATAGTCAAAAGGAGGACTTTTTCTCCCCCCTCCCCTCTCCCCTTGTATAGAACCTTCAGTCAGAAATTGCTACCGTCATTTCAAAATCTTAATCGTAAGACCAGCCTGGTTCTCCTCCATCCTGCCCTTCTTTAGGGTAAGAAATCCACTAAGTGGAACGTTTTTTACTTTTTTGAAATGAAGCCTCTTAGCTTGCAAGCCAACCAAATTTCAGTTTTGATTCAGATTGATCTGTGCCATGATGACAGTGTGTAAATTCTGAGTTGCACAGAAGTCATCCTGGGACGGATGCTTCAAGGCCGTAAAAAAACAGAATAATGTTTCCAAGTATATCGTCACGCTGCAAGAGAGAAAGAGAAAGGAAGCTTGGCCACCATGAATTTTGCTGAGAATTCATCTCCATCCAATTCACTTCTTTGCCAAATGTCTTCTGGCAGAAGCCATTCCTTGAGGCTTCACCAGAGGAATGGGCCAAAGGACCATCTATCTTCTGAAAGATCACCTGGCCTTGAACATTTTCCTTCCATCAGGTTATTTGCTTTTCCCTTTTTAAATTTTTTACGGCTCTTACATTTATGTCTGAAAGCAGAAATCATTGTAAGCTACTCTGGGATCTTTTCAAAAGGATAAATTAAATAAATTTCAGCCCAGATTTGTTTTATGTTTTAAAACATAAATTTGAATGCTGTGAATCTTTGAAGTTAAGTAGATGAAAAAGCAATCTTTGCAATTAAACACACACACACACACACATACACACAACCAAAGATTTTTTTGTAGGACATTAAAATACTTTCTTTTCATTTATTTCAGTTTTTTTCTGTTATTATCATCTTCCCTCCGTTGCCCAGTAGCCTTCTTAGCTTCTGAGAATTCTTCGGGTTCCTCAGCATCTTTACTGCTGAAGTTATCGGAGGAAGGAAGAAGGAAATATATCTGTCTGCTGAAGATAAAATCTTCCAGGGCTATGTGTTGGAGTTGTTATTTCTTTGATCCAATAAAACCCAAGTCATCCTTCATTCTCCCTCCTCTGTTGGCACACTGGAGAAGAAGGTATGAATCATGGTGTCTTGGGAATGATGGAGACTGACTGAAAAATTATGGGAGTGTGGTCCTTAGCTCGCAGCCGTGTTACGGTCCCTGAACTGGAGCTTAGATGAAGCAAGGGGCCTGGCAAAGATGACCTCTGATTCTATCCCAGCTTATGAAAAATGCTAAGCAAGACGAATGCATCTCTCCTCTTCTGTCCTTAGGAAACAATTTTATGTCTGCACTGTTGTGTAAAGAAATAATAATAACAACAACTCCAAAACAACAACAAAAACAGTTTCGACGCTTTTCTGAGTTGCAAGGAAATTTGCAGGCAGATGATAGAATGTTTAAAAACAGTCAGGAAGAAGCCAAAGAAACAAAGATACAAAATAAACCAATCCAAAGAGTAGATACGTGGAGATGTCCCCTCAACGGTCTTCTTCTTTGCTGCAGGAAGCAGCAGCCTGTGATCTATGATGAGAAATGGCATCGTATCAGCTCCTCCCTCCCGGGCTTCTAACTTTTATCTGATATGACGTGTTGTGGCAAGAGGGAGCAACAGAGAGCCCTTCCCACCAACACCATGAAGATAGCAAGAGTGCTTGTGGTGAATCCTCACACCAGCAGTCGTGCTTTCGCTTGTCATACTAGAACCAGGACGGGAGCTGAAAGACAGCAAGACGGTAAGTGGGAGACTCCAAGGGCTTCAGATACGGAAAGAGTTACACACAGACCTGACCTGTCAATCCAGTAGTGGGCCTTGAGAGACTGATTTTCACGAAGCCCACGGAAATCAGACTCTCAGGAGTCAGCCAGGAGGGCGAAGACTCCCCTCTCTTATCTCGGCTTTTAAAGAGAGGACGGACGGAGGTCAGAGGCACCGTTTGCTGCAGATCAGGGAATTATAAAGCACGCTCAGGACTAGTGAAAGCTAGATGCAGATCAGAACGCGGCTTCTGTTTTATGGGCTGTCATCTAAGTTGTGGGTCTTCTGTGTGTGTGTGTGCATGCTTGTGCGTGCTGGAAACAATTGAGTGAATTCAGCCTCTTCAGTAGTAATTCTTCAGTTCTTTATTTTTCCTCTTTCCTTCCCCCCCACCCCGAGTTTACCTCTTCTTCTTCAGTTATAGATAATACAGGCTTGTAGCTTTTCCTTCTCAAATTCATTGGGCTCCTACAATTTGGTTGCTGATTTACATTTTACATTTTGTATTTATATATTGTTTGTTTATTGTTATATGGTTTTCTCTGTTTTTTTTTTCTTTTTGATTGATAGTCTGTTTTTGTGCTCAGTGCTGCCCACAGTGGGCGGCCTTATAAATCTTTTATAAATAAATAAACATCTTCCTTTCTTTTAGATAACCTTACCTCTACCTTGGTGGGTTAATTGGTTCTCTGTTGGTGATAAAACTCCATCTCAGCTATATATATGAAAGAATTCAGAGATCATCTGAACATCTGCTTAGAAAATAAGCCATGCAATAATGGAGAAGGACGTTTGATCACTGTCACAGGTAGGTCTACACCATCTTCTTCTTCTTCTTCTTCTTCTTCTTCTTCTTCTTCTTCTTCTTCTTCTTCTTCTTCTTCTTCTTCTTCTTCTTCT